CCCCATCCCCACCCACCCCGCGACCTCCCCCCGAGCTGGAAACCAGAACCTCGGCCACAGGTTCTTATAGGAACAGGAAGTTGGACATTTCAGGAACAATGAGCAGAAGTACAACATGAGTGTGTTCCCACCCATCATCTCAAACTCCCAATAGTGACTTCAGGGTTTAATAACTTCCAAGGTCTTAGCCAGGCAGTAAAGGGGATATCTGGTTACCTGTGTCTGCCATCGACATGGGGAAGGAAAGGGGCAGTGTTCACCATTCTTAAGTGCAGTGCTTAAGAGGACACTGCCCTGCAGGACCACAAGGACAGCACAAAGGGAAGGCTGTTGAGCCTCATCATTGAGTCCTTTCCAGGGCCTCCACAAGAATCCTGAGACTTCGTCAGCTGAGCTGCTGGGACAAGAAGCAAGGACATTGCTGTCACAGAGTTACAGCAGGTAGAACAAAAATGTTATCTTTAAAGCTCTTTGGAAATGCCCATCCATGCTGATATCTGATGGGACTCAGGCAGCATCCTGAAAATGTCCGTAGTTACAGGTTTGCAGCCTGTGGCCCTCTGCATTTTTGAGAGGAAGTGAGGTCATCACAAAAGCCACAAGCAAACATTTTATTTTGCTCTCAGAAAGAATCCGATTCAGAGAAAAGTCCAGACTATTTCCTGATGGTGCTGAAAAAAGAAAATGTATACTTCAGAGAAACCCACAGGAAGTCCATGAGGGAACCCAGAAAGCCTCCCAATTCAGCCCCAGAGCAGTGAGGAACTCCTATCTTGAGAGGATTCAGAAGTCACCCAGGACAGGGATCTGTGAGTGACTGACAGGGAGCAGGTTGGAGGTGGCACATGGGTCATGGCCTGAAGAGCTAGGTTTGGAAAGGAAACAGATTGGGAGCAGTGAGTTCCATTAGAGCCTTGGTCTTGCTGGACAGTGAGGACTATTGGGATCTAGCGTGCTGGAGACCTGTGGGCACCCAAAGGGATCTTGCATCTGGATATGAGTCTGCAAACTGGATGCCCAGTTGGAGTGAGTGTAGCAACCATGGCAAAGGTGGAGAGAAGGAGCAAGGACATCCCAAGTTGCAAGCAATGGCTCAGGAGATGTCAGAGCTCCCCTGGCCTGGCATCTGAATGTCTAGGTTTGCTGGCCCTCCCTCAGAGACAACCAGCAGGGGGCAGCATGAGGCCACAGCACCTGCAGCAGGAGGCCTCTGCTAACCAGCCAGGCACAGCCACTTGGGAACATGAATTTTGCTGCTTGTCTTTTAAATCCAGCTTGGAGCTGTGTTAAGCTTCAGAGAAAGGAGTTGCTCATACATCTACAGAGTTGGCTCAGATTTGTTCATTGGCATTAATTTATTTGCTGAACAGTTATTAACTGTGTGTATATGTAGTTCCCTGCCTTTGCAGGCACTGAGACTGTGGAGATGAATGTCATAGTCCTGTAATAATTGCAGCAACAGGGCTAGTGCTTGCATGGCATTGTTGCAGGTCATGATTGTTTAACTTGTATCAGTTCATCTGGTCCTCATAACAATCCTCTGTGGTGAGTGCTAATATCATCCCACTCTTACGAAATGCCTTGCCCAGGGCCACACAGCTGCAAAGTGATGGAGGCTGGATTTGCATCCAGGCAGTCTGGCTCCAGAGGCCTCTCTCTTAATGACTTTGCTACACTGACATAAGTAAATGGCCAAGATGATATCCAATAGCTATCACTGCTGAGAAGAAAATAAAACAGGTGTTGTGCTGGAGACTTGGGCTGGTGGGTACTGGTAGCCAAGTAAGGACTGGGATGGGATGGGAGGTCAGGGATGACATATGATCTAAAACCTATATAGGGAAAGAAGATTATCCTCCACCATCTGTCGAGCCCCAATGTCGCATAGCTTAGGGTCCCTGTGGACCTTTTGTGCATGATCAACACCCAGCTTCCTCCTCCAGAGTCTTGGGAGCCACCCAGAGCTGATGCTTTTCAGAGGGGAGAGACATGGGCACAGATAGGGGAGGGGTGCTGGGACTCAGCTTCTACAGAAGAATGTAGAGAATTTCAGGATATGTTAGTTGGTTTCTATACAGACACACACTCACACATGCACAGAAATAAAAACAGGCCAAGCCCATAGACACACATGTCCCCCTCTGGGTCTCATGGGCCAGCACCTCTCAGACTCTGACAACCCTCAGGACTGGTTCCAGCCCCAGAGCCACTTCTTGAAGTCCCAGGGGGCAACAAGACCCTGGGGATGTGCAGGGAAGATTTGGATAGGTAACAGGTTTTACTAGGGGAGCACTGGTCAGTTGAGAGGGATTACTCAGTCTGACACTATACAGTGAAGCAGGACCTGTTTACCTCAGGAGGGGCCTCCACAGAATAAAGAAGCCCTAACTTCCAGTGCTGGAACAGCTCTGCAATGCTGAGATGGAGGCAGGAAGCCACCATGGTGACTTTATTTCTCAGGGCAGTGGTTTCCAAAACTGACCAAACAGCCAGATCTCATGAGGACCTCATTAAGATGAGAGAGCTCTGATATTTTAATTCACTGGGTTCAGAATGGAGCCAAGATCATATGATTTTGTCAAGTGTTCCGGTCGGTTCCTCCACTCACTGCTTTGAAGAGCCAGAACAAGGCTGCTGGCCAGTGGGCTGGCGGCGGAAGTCCAGTCCAAGGTATTTGTGTGGTTAAGAAATGGTTACCTGCACCCCATTCCTTTTCAGCCTGACACCTATGTTTTCCTGAATAAGACTTGTTCCAACCTGGGGCCACTGTCTCCTCCCACACAGGCTGCCACCAGTGTTGGGAGCACTCTTTCCCAGAAGGATTCCTGTCCTGAGTGCTTCCCACCTTCCCAGCAATCTGCCAGCCGCTCAGGGTTCCTAGGACACATCACTTTACAAAGCCCACTTCCCGACACCTCCAGCCCAGGGCCCTTCATGACAGCTGATCCCTTCCTGTTTAATGGTGTGTGTGTGTGTGTGTTGTGTGTGTGTATGTGTGTGTGTGTGTGTCGGGGGTGGGAGTGGGGCTCTGGTTCCTGGAAGTTTCCATGGCACAGGCAATTTACACAACAACAAGCAAACAACCTTCCAGGTCAGAGTTCTGCTATGACACATACACTCTGGGGTCAAGTCCAGGGCCTGACCGCTGGTGCTGGCTGATCACAGGGAGGGAAAGAGTTTTCACAGGTGTAATTCTGGACCTCCAGTTGAGATCCTAAGTCCCATCTCTGTCTTGCCCATGGCACAGTGTCAGCAGGTGACCTGTGCAACTCTAAAGAAAGACCCTCCTGTAGCATCAAAGCCAGGTTCTAGAACCAGGGCCTTGAATGTCTCAAGCTTTGGTAGCTATTTTTGCTGTGTGACACAAGGCAAGTGACAGGCACCTTGGCTATGTCCACAGGAGAACCCCGATTCACAGATTCACATACTAATTTAAACCAAAGTCCCCAACTCTATAACTTGCCCCTCCAACTTCCCTAGCCTGGCTTTCTATAGGATTCAGAAATGACTGATATGTGCTTAACCCAAAATTAGCTTGCACACTACTGACAGACAATTAAAATTGAAGATAGTCCTCAAATCCTGCAGCTCTGCTCCTGCAGTGTGTCCACAGTTGGTATTTATACGTAGTCACTAATTCACACAACATTCAAAGAGAGAAGCCTTAGACACCAAGGTACAAACAGGGAAGGTGAGGAGAGCACTTGGTGCATAGGGAGCTAACCTCCACCTGCAGTCTCCTGCTTCCAAACTCTGAACCTCCCAGCCACTAGGCCCTCTGTCCTTCAACTCTAATGTGGTATGGAGACCCCAGGCTACAAGCTTCTCCAAAGGCATGGTCACAGGGCTAGGTCCCAGGCTACAGGCTTCTGAACACCAGCTTCCTTCACAGGTTGCTCAGAGCCATGATTTCAGCTTCTCCCTCTGTACACAGGTGAAAAAAAAATCCTGTATTTTGAAATTAACTCTACTTCTCCCAGGATAAATAGAAGAACTGGGAAATGAAGCTAGGTAGGTAGCTTGTCTCAATCTTAGATTGAAATCAGATTGGTGACCGTGGGTGACATTTAGAGAGAGGAGCTATGGCAGGAATGTCAGGTGCTGAGAACAAGTCCTACTCATGCTTGAGCTTATGGAGAAGTCTTCATGCCCTGGACAGGCAAGAAGAAGGAATCAGCAAGGCATCTCCAAAGGGCAGGGTGTGGGGCGAGGTTATGAGCCAAGAAGGAGGACAGTGCCGGGGTGGCATGGAGAGCTGCCATGCGAGGGCGTAAGGCTGGTGATGAAGGAATGGGATGGTGGGTAGGTGGTAGAAGAAACCATCAGAAGCCACCTGGGGGAACAATAGAAGACTTGAGTTTGCCCTGCAAGTCTGCATCTCCCATTCTCTAATGCTGGGAAGGAAGGCCTGGCCTGCCCTGAGTCTTCTGCAGTTTTACCACTGCAGGCACAGTATGCAAAGAGGGGCATTCACCCCAGGGTAGATCCATCTTCCACAAAACACAGTGTCAGAGTGGCCAGTCAATTCCCTTATCTTTGTCTTGGCTGTGAGAAAAGTCAGGTGGAAATCTTGTGCTTGGTCACAGTAACTCTCTTGCTCTAGGTCATCTTTGGTCACCTGGATCACCTTCTTTCTGCAGTTTCTAGCCTATCTTTTTTCTATTTGCCTTAATCCATCATTTCATTGGTCCTTCTAAATTTTAAACAAGTTTCCTGTAACTTTGGCAAGCAGTGTAGATCTGTATTGGATAAAGAACCTGTTCATCACAAAAATACTCTTCTCCTAGCCCCCAACTGTAGCACCTTGACAAGAGCCTCGTGGAACTGAAAATTCAGCCATGTGACAGTCTCAGTGTGCTAGAGGTCTAGAGCCCAAGCTCTGGCACCTCCACCCTGCTGGCCCAGTGCTTGCACATGGCCCACCGAGGCCCCACTCCTTCCTGAATAGTCCTGCAGCAGGAGACCACCTGGCTGGAAAAAACACCACTCACACTCACTTCTCAGTGGACAATAAGTTCATCCATTTGTAATTTTTTAATATATCCATTCAACAAATATTCATCAAGCACTTATTAACTACAAAGTGTTTTTCCTTGGCTCAGGACTGTGCTCCTAGCAAAAGCAGTGTGACTTTCCTCTGGGCTGACAGATACCTGCACCCCATTATCACCTTCTCTTCACTTCCTCATCCCTGGGATAAATATGTCCCCTCCATACCCACAACAAAGGAATAGCTTAACACTAGGCAAGGGGAAAAGTAGTATTAAATTCTCTTTTGAAGCACCAGAGAGGTCAGCAAAAAGCCATGAAGGGGACTAAGGACCAAGGCAAGAGCAGCTTCAGGCTGAGAACTCACATACTGCCAGGAAGGCAGCAGTGCAAGAGACATCATTCCAGACTCCATCCGTCAGCATAAGCACACAGTCCTCCCCCTTGCCATAGTCATTAGGCTCATTTGTCTTCCAGTTGCTATAGGCCAGCCTCCCTCCTGTCACGTACATGAACTGGCCTTCCGTCGCCTCATCTGTGATGCCCAGGAAGACATTGTCATTGGCCACCTCTTGGATAGCTTTGTTCTCTTCAGCATTCCTGGGGGTGGCCACAGTGGCCCTGAGCTCTGTACATAGATCCTTCACCTTGGCAAAAGTCATCTTTTCACCATTGGTCACATAGAACTTCTTCCCAGACTTTTTGCCCAAAGAGAAGTCTTGCACTGAAATCATAAAAAACAAATCAGGCTGACACAGTGTGGACCCTACCAAAGACAGGAAAAGTACGTCTCTGAGAACTCAGGACTCTGCAAATAGTCTCATGCCCAACCCCTTGAGGCCAGAGCCTAGGAAGAAAGAAGGTCCCAGCTTCAGAGCCAGGGAAAGAACACCAGGAAACCAGGCTAGAGTCTCCTGGGAAATCCCACCCGTAATACCAACATCAGTTAGAAACTGTCCCAGCAGGTGGACATAGCGGGATGTGCTCGGGCCTCACTGCCAGGCTGAGGCACAGTGGATGTGGAGAAAGGAACAGAGAGTTTAGAGACCACAGCCCTTCGTTCACCTCTGCCTCTGCTCCTTGCTAGTTAGGTGATGTTGAAGGAGTTCCTTACACTTCATGAACTTTTTATTCCTTGCCTTGTCTGTAAGTATAACAAGTATAATAACCCCTACTGTGGTGGTGAGAGGACCAAATGAAAGCATATTATAAGAGAATGCCAACCTATCACAAGCCCAGGCACTGTAAGTACATATTCATAAGCATCTGTTCTCTTCCATTCTCCCCAAATGTAGTTCACACTGCAGAAAAATGTGAGTGCCAAGAACAAATGGGAGCAGAGAAAAAGCTTACACTTTTTGATGTGGTCCAGTTCTGATCTCAAGTTTCTGATTTCACCCTCTAGGTTAGCCAGCTTACTCTCAGCAACTGCAAAGCAACAGAAAAATTGGCATTTATTGAGAAAAACTTAAATTGGAAAGCAAAGCATTAGGAAAAAAAACCTGGCTTAATAAAAAGTAAGCTTATTTCAGAAAAATAAGAAAGCTAAAAGAGGCAAGTATAAAAATAAATAAATAACTGCATCCCTGCCTCCTCAGATATGCAATAGCTACTCTCAACAACTTGTGAGTATACAGTAGTTTTGGAGCTTTCCTTGATATAGTGCTTAAGTGTTATTACATTATAATAATTTGTAAGATAATATCCAACTCTTTCTTTTTGAAAATTATCTTTGTGATTCATTTTCATTTCTTTTTTCAGGCAAACTTTTTAAAACTTTTATTATTTTGATAGGCTTGTGCACAAATATTACTCAGAGGGTTGTTGTTTTCCTTTGTCGTCACATAATTTTACCCTAAACTGAGTTGCTATGCTGTTTGCTATTACCAAGGGTTTGATGAGGCAGACCATTTTCATGCCACTCCTGGGACAATGGGCACAAATACAATACCAGAAAGAACCCATTTCCTTTCCCGAAGCTGGAGTCACACACTGGGTTTTCAGCTGACTAAAAGCCAAGTCCCACCTCCTTCAGAATTCCAATGAGGCAGTAGCCCTGCAGGTTCTGGAAGTCAGGCCCCAAGTGACACTGGGCCAGGAAGCAGAGTTGAGCATCTTTCAATGAAACCACAGGAAAAGGGGCACCTCCCACCTGCCCCCAGTTCCCAGGGTCCTGGCCCCTCAGGCAGCCATGCTGGGGTGCGCTCCTCACCGAAACTGTCTCCACGCTCTCCTTTTTGGCCTTTGAATCCTGTGGGTCCAGGATTCCCTGTTTTCCCTGGAGGCCCCAACTTCCCTGGAGGCCCCTGCAGACCTCTGAGCCCTTGACCTGTTGAGAGACCAAGGAAACATGACCCAGAGTCTATTGCTCGTTTTCCTTCTCCAGAAGCTTACCAACTGACTCACACCTGTCCTGGGGACAATCACACATCACTGATTCCTGTGTGGAAATGTGGGAGCTGTGAGAGCCTGAGTGGGCTGGCCTGACTCAGAACAATCATAGTGAAAGGTGAGCTTCCCCAGGTCTCTGTGCTCATCCTTATGCGGGACAGCAGCCTGATGGAGCAGTAGACTTAGAAAGCCAGAGTACCCTGTCCTATACCTGGGTCTCCCTTCTCCCCCTTGGGTCCATCTCGTCCGTCTCTGCCTGGGGTGCCATTAGTGACAGGGATGCCGCAGGTGATCACAGAACAGGCCTTCTGGTTTTCTTCACAGGCTTTTGTTTCTGAGCAGGATGCTCTCGCCACACACAGGAGAAGGACAGAGAACGATGGAAACAGCAGCATGGTTCTTGCTTGGAAAAGAGAAAGTCAAGGGAAAGAATTCCATCTCATTTTGTTTAGTCCACATCAGCTACCACCTGTAGTGTGCTGCCCTCTGTGCTGGAGACAGCAGACCAGGAGAGAAATATCACACTCCAGGCCGCTAGGAAAACAGGCAAGTAAAAAATATGAGCGTCAGATCGGTAGTGAAAAAAGACAGATGCAACAGGAGCATGGCCCATTCTCCTGCAGGTCCCAGGGCCCCCACTAGCATAAGGCTTAGTGGTTAGGTATCCTGTAGCCAGGGATCCTGTACAATGTGTGAATTATAAACTGGCCCTGGTCCTGGTGGTCTGGTGCAAAGACAGAGTTTACAGGTTCCCCTATTTCTGCACTTCCTTTCTTGGTCCCAGCAGCCTCATTCTCCCTCTTCTTCCCACTTCTACTGCCCTAGAGTTAGACCCACATGGTAGCAGGTGACAGACCCCACAAGATCCACTTCTTGGCCACACGTGGTTTATAATATCCACTCTCCTATTTCAGATCAAATCTGTTTTACACACAGAGCCCACGCATGCTCAGAGCTGTAGCAGTTTCCACAATAGATTATAAGCCATCTTATACAATGCCTGTGTTTTGTGACAGGCACTTCCTGGGGGCTCAGGATCCAGAGTGCCCTAAGGCAGGATCTGACCCTCAAAATGGAAACTTTTTTGGTCACTGATCCTGTCTAGATGAGACATCCCTTGGTTTGAGATTTCCCACCACCAGGCCATTTCTGCCAAGCAGAACACAGGCTCCTGAAATTCCTGCTCACTCAGGTGTGTGGGAGTTTCCTTATCCTCCTCCTCCCCAGGCAGGCCCCTCTGGGCAGTGCACAGATGCTCCCAGCTCGGAGCCCCCCTCCAGCTGTCAGGTTCCTATCCCATTTGCTAGGGCCGAGCTGGTCTCTCCTCCAGGAAGCTTTGGCACCCTGCCTCCACCGGACTCCATTTCCACTCTGCTCCAGCCTCCATTTCCAGTGTCCCTGAACGTATTGCACCCACCCTTGCCTGCCTTGGCCTGTGAACCTTCCCTTCCTCCCGAACTTGGTGGTGCAAGGTGCCCAGATGGAAGGGACCTTCCATTTTGATCACATCCTTCTCCACCTTTCCCATTTCTATCTTTTTTGTATTTTTTAACTTAGCCTGTTGGTTCTGGAGAGAGCAGGCGGAGCTGTGCTTGTTGCTGGTGTACATATGCCTCACTTCTAGCCCCCCTATTGAAACAAACTGCCCTTTATTTTGCAAATGGCCAGCTGGATCCAGGAAAGACACATATGACCCAGATCAATACACAGAAGCTCAGGTGGACCTGTTGACCCCACTACAGCCCCTGCCTGAACCTCACCAGGTTCAGGCTAGAAAGGCAGGCTCTCCACCCAGGCCCCTACCTCTTTCCTCCAGAAATGACTGATGAAGTCTCCTGTAGAACACAGAGATGGTGGCAGGGGAGATGACCCTTCAGCACAGGCTTCTGGCAGCTGTTTTCACAATGCTGGGCCAAATTAGCCTGGTAAGCAGGAGTAGGACTGCACTGGCCTTTAACCTCAGATTAATAAACAACCATCCCTAGGACCGCTGCAACTGTGTAGATCCCCAGGGCTGTTGGTGGGGTCTCCAGCATGGTGCTGGGCATCTCTCTACTTTGACACCCTCGAGCCCTCCTTCACCTACCCTCTCCCACACATCTATGCCTGCAGCTAAGCTGGCCTAATCCTCTAAAATCTTAGGCTCTTGACATAGTCTCTCCATATATTTACTTCCCCAAAAATGCATAAGCACTGTACCAAACACACATATGTTCACAAACATACAAACACACACACACACACTGGGAAGTAGGAAGAAAAATGTTCAAATGGGAAGGGGAACAAGGGAGGGGAAAAAGGGAAGAGAAGGGAGGGAATAGGGATTTTAAAACTTAAAAAGAATGGAAAGAAAACAATAGAAACAAAGTTTTGTAAAGGGAGGAGGAAGAAGGATTGAAAGGAAGAGAGAGAAGTGGAAAAATGAATTAAGATATATTAGGTACAAGTATAAATTCCATGTGATGAATGTGATCATTATGTATGTCAAAAGTATAGAAATAAAATTAGTTTTAAAAATAAACAAATAAAAGAAAAAAAAGGGCACACACACACACACACACACACACATCCATGAGCATGCACTTCTGCTTCAGTTTTTCTGACTAGTTTGCCATTCTGTTTGTGCTTTATTTATTATAGGGCCAGGATGGGGAGGTTAAAGAACTACAACCCTAGGTCACCTGGTTCCTTCTCATTCAAAACATTTAGCAAGTGTCATCTTTGGGCATTCACAGGGATGGGCATGAGGAGAAAAATATTTGTAGATAACTTAAATTCAAAGCTGAGTGTCAGCATTTGCACAATTATCCTCTGTGGTACATATTTTCCCCCTAGCTTTGCCGTGTTAGTGGGTGTCATTTAGATTTTAGCTTAAATATTATCTGAGGAGGAAGTATGTTTCTAACCATTTAATTTTAATAAACTGCTCTATTGATAAATTATAGGTCTCTGATCTAATTAATTTTTATTTTTATTAGTACATGTTTGCAGCTCACAAAATTACATTCATCATGGGGAATTGGTACATATACGTCACACATCTTAATTCTTTTTATACTTCCTTTTCCTTTCCTCTCTCCCCCCTCCCTTCATCCCTTTGATCCCCTCCCTTTTAAAAAAGATCTATTGGGAGACTTCCAGGCCGCCACACCACCACTGCCCCCAGCGCCCAGGAGGAGGCTTCTGGGTCACCGTACCACCACTGGCCCCAGCGCAGATGAAGTGAGCCATGCGGGCCCCAAAAGCAACCCCTCCCCCACTGTCAAAATGAGAACACACATAAAGAAGTCTCAAAACCAGAAATCCAGATCACCTAAAGCAACCCCAAAGGGAGGAACACTCTGATACTCAACCACCTGGACTCCCGGAACTGGCAACAAAAGAGGATCTTGAAAAAATGAAATCAGAAATAATTTCTCAGATAACAGCAGAGATTGTGCTCATAGTGCAAGCCATGATTAATAAATCTAGAGGGGACACAGATGAAAAAATAGAGGATCTGAGGAATATGATGAAATCCCAACATAGGCAACAAATGGAATCCATAAAACAGATACAAACAGATTTCCAAGAGATTAAAAACTCCATCGAAAGTCTGCGCAGCAGAACCAACCAACGTGAGGATAGAATTTCACATATAGAAGATAAGATTGCAATTAGTGAGGAGGAAAAGCAAAATTGCTTTAAAATTGTAAGGGAACACAAGAAATCAATCCAGCAGCTGCTAGA